TCACGTAGGGAAGCCCTTGAAAGCGGAGATTAGGAGCAAGGGAAAGCGGTTGCAGATGACTCTGTGTTATCAACCTGATACACAGTTCAGATTACTCCGTCTCTAGGGTCCATAAGAACCGAGGCATTGGACAGCCATCTCTTAGTCCCAGAGACCCTCGTAGTGGCCCTTCTCATCCGGTCGGGGACTCCATTCAAGCCTTATTAGCGGACCGCAGGTTGTCCATCGGGATGGAAATCGGGAGAGAATGCGTGAGACTATACTTCTTGAACTTCCACTGTATCCATCCGTTTCTTGACCAGGCATCATTTCTTAATCGTTGCGAGAAAGAAGCTTAGATGGGTGAAGCCGTCCCTCCCGACGTACCTACGCCTCGCGTACGAGCCCGAACCCGGTTTCTTGCCCTCTTCAACATAGTTCTAGCCATCGGTGCCATAACGACTGGAGAAATATCTCTGGTCATGTGGGACGGTGCTGCTACCTATCTAGACGAAGCGTGCCGTCAGGATGGGAAATCCATCAGTTCAAATATCTACCTACCGACCAGGGCCTCGCAGTTGTTCTTTGAGAGGGCGAAATTCCACCTCGAAGATACCTTCGAGTCGAGTTCCCCCGAGACAGCTCAGACTCTTTTCCTTATGGTGTGTTTGCCCATCCACAAGCTAATGACACTACTGGCCTGCTGCAGTCTGCCTTTGCCAGAACGCCCTGAAGCCACACAACTGCTACATGTATGCAGGAATGACGCCTCGCACTGCACTAGCAATCGGAATACCCGCGAGTCTTCACTCTGAAACGAGTTTAGAAAGCCGTTTTCTGGTAGTGAGTTCGTTGCTTCCTAAACATAAACGCCTAAAGGTTAAGTTCTTCAGGGGATATACTCGCACGAAATGTAGTATAACGTTCCATGCTACTTGTGCATTCCTGACTCATTTTACATAGAAATGTGCTCATCTGCTGGCCGACAATCTTTCTTGCGGGATCCGAGCCATTACCGGATTCCCTTGCCACGAGTATCAGTGAGTTGCTTCTTCTGAGTTGAATAGGGCATGCTTATTAACAAACGCGATAGGATTCACATGGACCGTCATTGTATCTCATCAACTGCATGGTTGGACTAGCAGAAATACTGACGAAGGTCTCGGCAAACGCTTGCAGGCCCGATGAAGCAGCGATTTTGTTCCAAAGATCTGAGAGAACGTTTACTTTAGATGAGCGTCTGTCATCTTGTAAATCACAACTAAGAGACCCCCTTAATCTAGAAAAAGGCATCCCTGGACGAGGCAGAATTGATAACGAAGCAGAAGATCGTGCTAAGGCTTCGTCTGTACTTCCCCTGAGACATCGTGGCAACGATGCTAATAATTCGCAGGCCTTTTAAATGCAAGAATCCTTCTGTACAGGCAATTTTTAATATCTGTTACAGCTGATTCGCATCGAGAGCAGTTCGCCATGCACACTCGATCTTGCGTTGAAGCGGCCAGTGAGACTATCCGATTGGTCCACACGGTATATCTGTATCGTCCGTATTTCCGCACTTGGGTCGTCTTATCTTGGCCCTCCCTCGGTTTCAACGGAGAGATAACTGACGATCATCATCATGTTTAGGTGGTACAATTGCACATATGTTCTCGATGCCACCATGGTGCTACTCTACGTCATCCTGTCAAACATCAGCCCTATAACCTCTGTGAACTTCATGCAAGCTGATTGTGAGCACACGAGTGTGCGGCTACGACTGAGATGAGACCTCTTCTTGGCAAACGTCACTCCTCTTCACCAATAGTCGCCCTACTGACTGCAATAAAACATCTTTGAGTTAAGGTTTCTTTTCTCTATGCTTTTCCATGCCAATATCCTCCGCAATGCACACTCCGCTCGTAGACAATGGCTTTGTACGAGACGCATTGCTTGAGACCCATGACATACTCCCGACTCCAGGAGGATTGTGGCATTAACTCATGCAAGGTGTTGCGGTGACCGGTCATCCGACTGTAATCCCTCAAAAGTGCGAAAGCCACCAGGTTAATGGCAACAGACCATTACCTAGGCATAGTCTCACTTGATATAGCTGGGCCTTTTCCACCTCTGTATGACGTGCCCTTCAGTGAAAGCTCCAAGAGGTGAGACTCTGAGTCAAGCTCGTTCTGGTTTTCGCAACACTCTGAAGCCTCGAAATCGACAAGAACCGCCTTTCCACCTCGCACGAAGAAATTATTCCTGTTAAACTCTCCATGTTTTATGCCTAGAGCATGTAGGCTTGCAAGACTGGCCCGACAAGCTGATAAATCTTCTGGTGTCGCTGTTTGAGCGTCATCAATGTGCTCCATGATGAAACCAAAAACACTTCCATCCTCCATAAGATGGCCGAGAAATTTGGGACCAATCCCTCGGTCGTTGATCCACTGATACGCAGTTGTTTCTGCTTCGAGAAACGGCATCTGCCAAGGAAATTCTGCAAACTTGACAAGAACAGAGCGATCGAAGTGTGGGTGGGTAACTTTGTGGATGTTCTGGCGCAAACGATCGACTTTGGTCAACTCGAGATGGTCGATTTTGGTTGGATGCCAGATGTTTTTGACTGAAGGCAGATCACTCTTTTTGGTATGAGAGAATACCAACATCCCACTTCCCTTATCCTTAGAGACGTGACCTTCGTTCCAGTCTCCAAGAGGGAACGACGGCAATGCTGGGATCAATGCTGGTGCAAAGGTTTGACGGCCCTTTGGTAAGGCCCCTGGCTCAACGGTGACGTATTTGACATGCTTTCCATCAACCAGGAAGCGATACTCGCTCTCCTCATCATCATTTGAGTCCACAAGCAATGTGAGCAGCTCGACGTTGTTGTTTGTGGTCCGTGTCATTGCGAGATTCTCTTGAAGAAGATTGATGTTAATGTAGGTTCCTTAGGTCAAAGATCGTGGTCGCGTATCGCGTTGATGGACGAACGGGTTCTTTTTGCTCAGACGAAGGCTGATAGTGTTTTCATACTCAGGTCACCCACAATCTTTTCGGGTATCAAGGTTTCTTCCAGCCGTTGACAGGCTAGTAGCCGCCCTAGGCGCTCGCAAGTAATCTGAATCGAGAATTTGTACTTGATAGTGGACAGCACTTTAACCGCTGGCTTGGTCACTGTTGCGGCTGTTGGTGGCTCATCTCTAAAAACAGTTGCAGCGGTTATGATGTTCTGTTTCTTAGCGCAGGGAGGCTTTGGTAAACCTGAAACGCTGATGCCTTAGATAACCATCGTTTCATGACCCGGATTGTCTAAATATTTCTGTAAGCGCCCAGACGGCGGCTAAGCGCAATGTGAGCCGTACGTGATCTGCAGTTTGCACTCTCCCTCTCCAATGCAAATTGTACTTAAGGGCCATTATGTTTGGTGAAGAGAAAGCATGTTACACTTGTCCCCAGTCCTTCAGCACCCTCCGTCTTGCAACCAAAAAATTGGATTTCGCAACTTCAAGGTGATCTTGCTCCTTTTTCGACCAGGTATTCTTTATCACCCGTTGTCTAATGAGTTCTTCATTAATGTCAATTAGACGGAAATATTGGGTTGGGAGCATTTCAGGCATCCCAAAACACGACGCCATTTGTACCCAGTTTTACAGCATTTACACTTGTGGTTGCAAAAAAGAGGAGCGGTACGAGCAATGTCCACCGCAGATCGGAACAAACGTCATGTGCAACCGAATCAGGTGGATCTCGCTTGATCCCTCGCTGCAAGAAACACATGGTGAGGGAGGGGAAGGACGAGATGCGCCGCTGAGTTCCTATGTGGTCAATGATGTGACGAAGTTGTGGAGTATATAAATACATAGGATACGAATGAGATGCACTAGTCAGTTTTGAATTTATATCAAACAACGTTGTTTATCCATGCTGTGGTTGATGGTTTCTCATCGTGATTGGTCCATACTGCTCGATGTGCTCATTCAAGCCTTCTTTGGTGTCTGAAGTTCGTGGCATCCTTCGTGTTTTCTGTACACCCAAAGCAATGAACGCTCCAGTCAGCGACTTGAGCCGGGAATTCGACATACGGCGCAGCAACAATTGCCATATATCGTCGAGGCTCTCGCGTCCCTCTATCTTCCCGCGTCCGTCCATCTACTAATTGTGACGCATTTTCCGTTAACATCTTAAGCACAGCTTCCCAGTCATAGAACATCGTTCGATTGCGTGATATGTTACCAGCATCAGTGTATCGCCCAGGAAGGCTGTAGGCGTGGGGGATCTTTTTGAGGTCTCACCGTGAGAGACCAGTTACTCTCGACGCGTACGGGGCGGTGGCGGGGAAGTACTTGAGATCCGAGATGAAGCACAAATAGCAAACACGTTTGCAGGTGATGAGATAGAGGTAGCCACCGAAGTGGTTGCAGGTAGAGCATTCCCTAGTAGAGAGGGTTGCATATAAAGTCCTGCAATCATAGCTGTCTGCTCCGATGCTAATAATTCCACGAAGAATGTTGGGACAATGTTTTAGCACCATCTGATATGGACGCAATGAGTCAACATAGTTCATCGCACGATGGTTGACACGCCGGATATTGGTCAAGGTCGGAATGTCCACGTTAAGAAGGATATTCATGATGATTTCAGTGGGCAGAGAGTCCAGGTAACCGAATGAGTGTTGTGGTTTGATGGTGTATCGGCCATTGTCAAGGGGGCATCGCGTTTCCAGATCTGCATCATCCAAGATGTAATCAATGATTCTCAATCGAATACTTTGAGGAAGCGATTGACCTGAAGTCCGATCCATATTGCTCTAATAACAGCCGCCGAGGTGATGAGGTGAACTCGGAGGTGATGGTACGTAAAGTGCTGTGCACGGACCATGTCTGCAGAAGAACCTGGTGTACCCGCGTCCCCGGACGCGCTCCGCGACACTAAAAAAAAAAGAACGTATCAAAACCCGGCCATCGAACGAGTTCAAACAAACCGGCAAAATGCCAAACTAAACAAACCAGTAAAAAAAATAAACGCCTGCCGACGCTACATTTTGCGCGAGCCGGGAATCGAACCCGAAGATCAGGCAGGCCTGTCACGTGATGTGCATGGGAAGCCCGCATTTTACCATTAAACTACTCGCGCTGTTTGCAGCACGACCATGCTAATTGTGGAAGGGTTCCATTTTATGATGATATATATCGGGAGAGGCTAAAGGTAGTCCTCAACGTCAGTGGCTGTGGGGTAATCCAGAGCTTGGAACCCCTCCAGCAACGTTTCCGTCACCTTCTGTGTTGAGCTCCAAGCATCATCGCAACTCCCGGCCCTACTGCACTTCCAGGACAACCCTCTCCGCCTCACCTCGCCTCACGCCTCTGTCTGCCAGTCTTTACAGTTGTCGATACATCCGCTGAACCCTCCGACTCGCCCATCATGGCCAGCAAGGTCGACCGCATCGTCGCTCGGCTGCAGAGCAAGATCGCCGAGGGCGACTACTACGAGGCCCAGCAGCAGACCCGGGTTGCCGCCTCCCGCTACATCAAGACCTCCAACTGGCCTGCCGCCATCGATATCCTCGTCAGCGTCGCCCAGCCACTGCTCCGGGCCGGTCAGGGCGGCAGCGGCGGGGATCTATGCATCATGCTCGTCGACGTCTACCGCCAGGCTGAGCTCAAGCCCGATGCTGCCGCAAAGGGCCGCTTACTAACCTGCCTGCGCCTGTTTGACGCCGAGGAGCCTACGCGCAAGAAGTTTATAGGGGAGATGATCGGGTGAGCTTTGGTTGAAAGGGAAAACAATCTTAGTGGACTTGCTGACGAGGGTTGGGATAGGTGGTCAGCCAAGTTCGGCGACTTTCCAGCTGGTGACGCCGAGCTTCACCATGTTGCCGGATCGCTCTACGCCGAGGAGCACGAAACATACGAGGCGGAAAAGCATTTGATATTGGGAACTAAGGACTCTCCTGAGGTCTTGACCAAGATGGAGTACAAATGGTACAAGGAGGGCGAGCCACACCAGGCGGGCCTGTTCGCGGGCCGAGCCGTCCTGCCCTACCTGCTCGTCGGCAACGTCCGCGCCGCAAACACCTGCTACCGCCTTTTCGCCAGCACGTTGAGCACCGATAACCCCAGCTTGGGTGTTCAAGACGTCTCGAGCTCCAGTGGCGACATCCGCATCTTCCCCAGCCTCCCGTTACTCAATTTCCTTGGCTTTCTACTCATGGCTGTCCAGCGCGCGGCGCCCGAGCTGTACAAGGGCCTCGTCTCCAAATACGCCACGCAGATTAACGAGGCCGAGTCGTGGGCCGATGCGCTCCAGATGATTGGCGAGATGTACTTTGGCATCACCCAGCCGCGCAAGAGCAACCCCCTAATGGACATGATGAGCGGGCTGTTTAGCGGAGGTGCTCCTGGCGGTGCGCCGCAGCAGCAACAGAGGAGACCGACTCCGAGGGGCCTGGATGCCCCGGCGCCGGAGGGTCTGGATTAATTGCGTCGGTTGGGAATTGCTGTATCATAGGAGCTGAGAAAACATAGAGTGCAGGCGTTGCATAGGTAGGCACAAGGGCAGGATTAGCCGCATTGCTGTTCTTCGGGCTCGAACATCCAGTTATCCTCGGCGAGGGCTGCCACTTTGGCTCTGAGGCTTGCTCTGACAGCTTCCAGGAGCTCTGCAATTTCGATCAATAAGCCATGGCTAGTCGTAATTAAGTCAGGATGTGAGGACATACCTTCGGGCTGTTCTGGCACAGTGCTGTGGTTGATTTGATGATGCTTCACGGCTTCAGCTAAGCGCTGCCTTTCTTCTATAGAAATGACGAGGTTTAGCCCTCAAATCGCACATGCACATATACACGGGAGGGGAAGCGCATACTCTCGGTTTCTTGACGATGATCCATCGGCACCTCGTCTTCATCCTCCAGGATCGGCGTGGGAGGGTCGCCGAGCTCAATCTCGCCGTGCTTGTCCCGAACGACAATCTCAGACGTGTCAGAGAGCACGTCGGCGTCGAGGTGCAGCGTCTCGGTGGATGTAGACGAGCTCGCCGTAGGTCGCCGGGTCAACTGGCCCTGGAAGAGGTTACGACGCACGCTGGCCGAGGCGCCGTTGCGAGTGCGGGAGACGCCGCCGTTGGCGACTGGTCGCGAACGATCGGCCATGTGTGGTGATTTTCGGGCCGGGAATCAATGACGAAGAGGACGGCTTAGAAGGAATGTTCCCGTGGTGAAGTCTAAGGATGAGAGGTCGAGATGGAGGTGCGATGTGTTGACTGTGGTGGGGACGCGACAGGGGATAATTGAGTTGAAGTGTGACGTTAGCCGCTGATTGATAGTCTAATTACTAGCAGGAGCGACTTGACAGATGCGGCATGCAACCTTCAGGCAACGACTCCAATATGACATCAGGGATGCGCCTAGAAAGCAACTGCCTCCGTTCTGTCCAGGCTCCAGATTGCCAACTCTTTTCTAGAATCTCACTAGCAGCCTAAAACATCTTCATCCTACAACTTCGCTAATTACTTACTAAATGGACATTACCCTAAATCTGCAAGTAGATGTCTTTACCTATCAAGAACGCTAAATCACAAAATCACACATTAGAGTCCAGGGCCCAGTGAATGACACCTCTTAAAACTACCCAATCTCAAATCGAGGTCAATAGGACCAGGTGTTGACAGCCATCTTGGTGCACCAAGAATCCTCATCTCAGGGACTCGACTCATCCACACCTTACTATTTATAAAGGCTCACCACTAATTTACACGCAACACTCCTTTGAGGTATACTTCAATACCATGATTGCGCTTGGAATTGAGTCATCACCCTGTTGTCCATCTCCCGATTCCACGTCCTTGGGTGGGTTTACAGGGAAAGGTTGTAAGAATACTCGTCTTCCATGTTCTGGCTGACCCAAAGAACGACAGAGCTAACTGTGTCAGAAACCCAGCTATAGTTTTCCGGGCAGAGGGAGGGGATGTAAACTTACCTAACGCCGACCAAGGCATTGCTCACAACGTTCTCGATACCCATGCTCAACGCGGGCATAGCCACGCTCGGGACGACGAACTTGAGGACGAAGACAGTAACTCCTCCAGCCATGCCACCGGCAAGAGCGGCAAAGCCCAGGAAGAGCACCACGCGGGCCTTCCACGCGACGCCAGATCCGCTATAGCTGAACGAGTCGGCGCTGAGGCGCTGCTTCTCGACCGAGTTGATGATGAGCATGCCCAGGCTGGAGAAGATGAAGGGCAGCCAGTCAACAAACTTGACGTGGACGTTGGAGCCGTTGTTGGGGGACTTGGACCAGACGGCGGAGTCTAGCATGACGTAGAAGGCGATGGAGAACTGCGCATATGTGTTCGGTCAGTTAACTGCGCAAAGACAAGCAATGCGCCACGGTGCGATGGAACAGCATCTCCATTCTGAAGTCACAGGATAGTTGGTGGCGACAAGCTGATGCGCAAGACTAATCCGCGACTTACCAGAGCTCCCGCGCCGTAGACACCGGCGTTGCGGGCCCAAATGCTGTTGAGCCACTCGGGCCGGCCGAACTTCCAGAGACGCTCCTCCTCCATTGTGTCGTGAACGAGAATAGGTATTCAGCTCGTCGGTGGTTACAGTAGATCGAAGTGTTACGAGGTCGGAGACGAGTGGGCCACGGGGGGACGGTGAGGGTGGGTGTCGAGCTGAGATAGGATGAGGCAGCTCAGATGCTCATGATGACGAAGCTGGGCGGCTCACGTCGGAAGGCTTGGCGCGCGGTAGATCACGTGCTGTGCGATACGGCGTGTCTGGCGGTACGTACCTTACCGAGACGCACGTCCCCGCCTCGCAGTCTTTGGTCACCTCAGCCCGCAATGATGCAACGACCCGCGAGGACAACATGGTCTATGCCTGAAAAACATGGGCTTCGTGGCCTCGTGGAATGCAATATCGAGAACCACAACAAATAGCACGACAGAAGATCTGGAACGACTGGTGGGTGGAGGAACGAGCAAAGATGCCCCGCTGACTAGAGTTCTGTCAGAGCAGCCAAAGGGCCGTGGCTAGCACGAACAGGACCCTGAGGTCCATCAATGTGGCCCAGTGACGAATGTGCATTAACACTGTACGGACGACGTGGGACTCCCAGTGCTCGTCGATTTGCTTGGCCTTGGCCTTCGAAACTAACGGGCTGTGGCGTGCTGGTTGAGTCTATTTCCCGCATTTCGAAGTAGGGGTTGTCTGTACGGAGGAAGCGTTTCTGCTTGATCAACCGGGTGTCTGCATGGTGGCGTACGCAGTGGCAGTAATAACGGCAGCGGCGCATAACAGTTAACGGAATGTCGCAGAAAGCCACTTAGTTGGCAACGTGTGGATTTGCCTGTGTACGAGTGTAAGAGAGATGGCTCGTAATCACAACAAACAATGTTGCCGTCCTTATTCCCAAGCGCTGGTGCTGAGACGGATGCCTTTGGTGTTTACTTATGTCGCCCGCAGCACTCAACCTCGTTGTTGTCAAGTGAACGACCACACCAAAATGCTCGCCAACCAATAAATGGGCTCATGGGTTGCGTAGCCTGCAGGACCCAGCAGCAAGCAGCAGCCAAGACCGGCGAACGCGTACGTAGCTCCAATGTAAGTACGATTTGTACCTACATACCGTACCATTCCAAGAAACCCAACATGGCTAAAAGTGTTCCACAGCAACCACCGCCCGAGCATCCCGACTTCTGGTGCTTCCCGCGGGTCACGTGGAGGGCAAATCTGCGAATGACCAACCACAAGTCGTACTGAAATAAAGCTGAACTACGGTGCTATGCCACCAAAAATAGCGAGCCCGTCCACAAAGCCGGCTGCTTTAACCGCTATCCCGTCGTGCCCGGCGGTGGGCGCAAATGGCGGCTGACTTAGGCGCCGCGGATCGCGGGGGAATTGGTAGAAGTCGACGCCTTAGAAGAGCATAAGACAGCCTCAGGAAGGATTCACGGAATTCGCGGGAGCCGTTCGAAGAAGCTGCCTGCAAATGAAGTGCCGCGTCGCCTCCACAGGGGCGCACGCACTCAGCGTGCCTCAGCAGGTTCAGCTTTAATAGGGCAGCAAGTGATCCATGCCGAATCTAGGCTGCGGGGCGTTGGTGCTACTCCTTTTTTTCCCTTTGGCCCTG